AGATGCATGTTTGTTGTTCATAATTTGTATCTTTACCTTTTTCTTCTTCTTCCTCTTCTTAAAGGATACCTTTCAGCATTTCGTATAATACTGGTTTAGTGGTGATGAACTCCTTTAGCTTTTCCTTATCTGTGAAGCTCTTTATCTGACCTTCAATTCTGAATGATAGCTTTGCTGGATAAAGTAATCTTGGTTGTAGGTTCTTGGTATTCATCACTTTGAATATTTCTTGCCATTCCCTTCTGGCCTGCAAAGTTTCTGTTGAGAAATCAGCTGACAGTTGTATGGGTATTCTCTTGTAGGTAATTGAGTCTCTTTCTCTTGCTGCTTTTAAGATTTTCTCTTTGTCTTTTGCTCTTGGCATTTTAATGATGATGTGTCTTGGTGTGGTCCTCTTTGGATTCCTTTTGTTTGGGGTTCTCTGCGCTTCTTGGACCTGTAAGTCCATTTCTTTCACCAGGTGGGGGAAGTTTTCTGCCATTATTTCTTCAAATAGGTTTTCAATATCTTGCTGTCTCTCATCTTCTGGTACCCCTATAATTCTGATGTTTGTACGCTTGAAGCTGTCCCAGAGGCTCCTTACACTATCTTCGTATTTTCGGATTCTTTTTTCATTTTGCTTTTCCGGTTGGGTGTTTTTTGCTTCTTCGCATTTCAAATCTTTGACTTGATTCTTGCGCTCCTCTGGTCTGCTATTGGGTGTCTGTATAATATTCTTTATTTGTCAGTGTATGCTTAATTTCTAGTTGGTTCTTTATCACAGCATCGAGGGTCTCATTAGATTTCGTGAGGCTCTCATCAAGTTTATTGGCAGCTTCTAGCAAATTATTGAAAGCCCTCAAAAGTGCGTTTTTTAGCTCTATATCCTCCATTTCTGTCATGTTTTTTTGTCTCCGCATTTTTTATGCTTTCTTGGTGCACCCCCTAGTGGTCTTTGTGCGCAGTCTTGTTCTAGTTAAGCCTTGATTGTTGTAGTTAATACTAGAGGGATTTCACCACCAGGCTGACTGGCTGTGAGAATCAGCTGTGTCTGTAGTGGGAAAACTTCTGTCCTCTGGAGAGGTGCTAATCTAGCCTTTGCCTGAGGCTATCCGGCAAATGGCTCTGCGCAGGGCTTGGGCGGGACAGGTCGCAGGGGATCAACAGGGCGGGCGGAGGGAGCAGTTATGGCTGCTCTCAGTCCCGTTCCCAGAGGCTCTGCTTCTCAGAACCCCAGCAACCGCTGTAAACCTCGGAGAGAAAGCTCCCCTCACGTTCCAGCTGATGCCAGACAATCCCGCTTCTCCCGTTTGAGTCTGAGTCCCTAGAGACTCGCCCGGATCTGGAGCTCAGAGTCTGAGACTCCCTCCTGATTGAAAACGACAACCGCGCCCTCAGCCACCATCCCGCTTTGCGCGCGCACCTCCGCATCTTTGTATTTTCCACACTGCACCTCCTCTGAGCCTCGGTATGCTGTTCTCTTTCCTTCTAGTTGAAGAGTCTCTCCTCAGCCAGCCTTCCTGTGGTTCTGGGTGATGTCCGTTCCGTCTTTTAGTTGTATTTTTGAAGTGGTTGTTTGCGGCAGCAATCTCCAGTGTTTACCTATGCCGCCATCTTGGTCTCCTCCTAGCTAAGTTTTTCTTCTCATTCTCTTGATAACTGTCTTTTGGAGAGCATAAGTTTTTTAAATAAAGTCCATCTTATTCATTATTTCTTTCATGGATTGTATCTTTGGTGTTGTATCTAAAAAGGCCAAGATCACCATACCCAAGATCACATCTACATTTTCTCCTATGTTATCCTCCAGAAGTTTTATATTAGTTTTTTTAATTGTTTTAAAATTTATTTTTTATTTATATTTTTAAAATATATTTTATTGATTTTTCACAGGGAGGAAGGGAGAGGGATAGAGAGTTAGAAATATTGATTAGCTTCCTCCTGCACACCTTCTACTGGGGATGTGCCTGCAACCAAGGTACATGCCCTTGACCGGAATCAAACCTGGGACCTTTCAGTCAACAGGCCGACGCTCTATCCACTGAGCCAAACCGGTTAGGGCTAAATTTATTTTTTAACTATATAAAATTAAATAGTTCCAAAGTTAAAATTATTTTTAACCAAGTCAAATTACATAGTTCCAAAGTTAAAACTATAAAACAAGGTATGTTATATGTATATATATTTTTGTTGTCCCCACTTCCTTTCTTATACAGAATATAGCATACCATCAACACTTTGCACAGGGCTTTTTTTCTTTTTAAAGTATATCCTGTAGACCACTCCATAGACGTTTATAGAGAAATATTCCTTGTTTCTTTTTGCACCTGCAGAATACATTACTTTTATGTAATATTTTACACAATATTTTAGTAACATTTTATAGAGGCATCATAGTTTTATAGCCAGTTCTCTATTGATAGATATTTGAATTATTTCCAGGTTCTTTGCTGTTAGAAATAGTACAGCAATAAATGACCTTTTTCATAAGTCAGTTAGTATTTTGCCAGCATATTTTTGAAAACAGCTTTATTGAGATATAATTCACATATCATAGAATTCATCTATTTAAAGTGTACAGTTCAATGGCTTTCAGTATATACACCAAACTTAGTTTTTTTGGTAAGGTTGTGCAACCATCACCACAATCAATTTTAGGATATGTTTATCACCCAAAAAGAAACCCCATACCGATTAGCAGTAGCTCCTAATTTTCTTCCGACTTAGCGTTAGGCAACCATTATTCTATTTTCTGTCTATTCTGGTTATTTCATGTAAGTCATATACTACCAGATATCTGGTCTTTTGTGATTGGCTTCTTTCACTTAATATAATGTTTTCGAGGTTCAGCTATGCTGTAGCATGCATTAGTACTTTATTCCTTTTTATGGCTGAGTAATATACTATTGTATGGGTATACCACATTTTATTTATGTATTCATCATTTGATGGACATTTGGGTTATTTCTACTTTTTTGCTAGTATTTCGGGATAGATTCCTAGAAGTGGTACTGTTGGGTCAAAGAGAAAATGCATGTATAATTTTGATAGACATTGCTAAATTTTCCTTTATAATGATTTTATGATTTTATGTTTCCACCAGCAGTGTGTAAGACATCTTGTTTTTTCCAGAGGCTTGCCAATAGAGATTATCATTAAAACTGTAGGAATTTTGCCTAAACTAATAGATGACACATGGTATTTCAGATATTTCAGTATAGTTCTTTTGGTAAGTTGTATTGAAGGGTGTAACATATCGAAGTGAACAAATCATAAGTGTACTTGGTATAGCTCAGTGATTCTTTACAAAGTTAACACATTAAGAAACAGACCACTTGCAGTATCCCAGAAGCCTTCTGTGTCTTTTTAGTCATACCCACCCCCAAGGATAACATTTATCTTGATATTTAACGCCATGTGTTAGTTTTCTCTATATTATTTATTATTTATTATTATTTTAAATCCTCATCCAAGGATTGAATTTATTGAATTTCAAGAGAGAGAAGAAGGGAGAGAGAGAGAGAGAGAGAGAGAGAGAGAGAGAGACAGATATCTGGCCTCTTAATAAGCCCCGACCAGGATCAAACACCCAACCTAGGTATGTGCCCTGACCAGGAATCGAACCCACAACCCTTTTTGGTGTACAGGACAACACTCTAACAAACTGAGCCACCCAGCCAGGGCCAGATTTTTTTCAATAAATATGTATAGTACTGTAAAAGTGTTTTCTCTTCATATGATTTTCTTAATGATATTTTATTTTCTTTAACTTACTTTATTGCAAGAATACTGTATATAATACATATAGCATACAAAATGTGTTAATCAACTGTTCATGTTACTGGTAAGGTTTCCAGTCAACAGTAGGCTCTTAGTAGTTAAGTTTTGGGGGGAATTGAAAGTTAAACATGGATTTTCGATTGCACGGGAGAGTCATTGTTCCTAACCCCAGCATTGTTCAAGGGTCAACTACATATGTTTGTTTTAATTTATAACTTCCAGACTTTCTTTTTATCTCTTGTAATGAGAATTGATTTCACCTACATATCAGAATGTCTTTGTTTTCCACATCCAGAAGTACTTTAAGATGACCTTCATTCCTCTACTTGCCATTTCTGGCCTCTCACTGTGGAAGTACAGCTATGGTCTTTGGGATATATTTGATAGGGTAAAGGTTGGGCTGTTCTTCTTCTTTTTTTAATTATCACCTGAGGATATTTTTCCTTTGAGAGGCAGAGGTAGAGAGAGAGAGAGAGAGAGAGAGAGAGAGAGGTGAGAGAGCCACATCGACTGGTTGCCTCCTGCAGAGAGAGAGAGAGAGAGAGAGAGAGAGAGAGAGAGAGGAGAGAGAGAGAGAGAGAGAGAGAGAGAGGTGAGAGAGCCACATCGACTGGTTGCCTCCTGCATGTGCCCCGATAAGGGATAAGGAGCAAACCTGCAACCCAGGTACATGTTCTTGACCAGGAATTGAACCCAAAACCCTTTGGTGTGCGAGCCAATGCTCTAACCACTGAGAACACCGACCAGGACAAGGTGGGACCGTTCTTGATTAGATTCCCAAGTATTATACCTCTCGCTCACCTAGCTGTATTTCTTTCCTCTTTCCACTACCTTTGTAGAGTATGCTATGTCTTTGAAGGTTTTATAGAAACCTAGTGTTACTTTTATGTAGCTGTGCCTCCTCTCCCAGAAAATACTCAAATCCTTATTTCAGGTAATTTCTGAACTGTAAAAGATTTTTCAATTTATTCTTTGTAAGAGAAAGGAGATTGTTTCCAAGTAAACTCTTTTTCTTTTATTTCATTTAAAAAAATCCCATCAAAAAGAATACTGTATCATCATAAATTTTATTAGAAATTTAAAAAATACAAGAAAGTAGAAATGGGAAGAAAGAAATAGAGAAAAAAAATTATCCATAGTTCTATCACCCAAAGGTGGGCATTGTTAACAGTCCTGCCTGATGTCATACAGTGTGTGTATGGTTTCACAGGGTTCTGAACATTGGTCTGCCTCATTTGTTGTAGTGAGTATGGCTTTGCTGAGAAGGTGGTGGAGGGGATGTTCATCGTCGTCAATTCCATCACCATCAAGATTCACGCCAAGGCCTTCCACGCTTCTTTTGAATTGTGGCAGCTCCAGGGCTATAGTGTGAACCCCAATTGGCAGCAGAGTGACCTGCGTCTCACCCGCATCACCGACCCCCGCCGAGGAGAGGTGACAGCAAGAGGAGAGAATGGGGGGATTTAAAGTAGGACTGATTCTTAAAGGATAGTGTTCCTGCTTTGGGAATTTCCTCAAATGATCCCCTATTCCTGGGAACGTAGGATCCCTCTGTCCAGTGTTATTGCTATATCCTTTCCTCAATTATGGATCTCTGACCCACTGCCTTCTATTGGTAGCACCCCAACTGAGAATGGTGGGAGTCTCTGCCTTGCCAGTCTTTTTCCCTTGCACTTCCTGCCTTTTGGTTAATTTCATCCACAGAATTAAGGGATTTTACTCTCTCTCTCCTTCCAGGTTTTAACATTTAAGGAAATAACTTGGCAAACCCTTCGGATTGAGGCAGATGCTACAGATAATGGTGATCAGGACCTGGTCACCACCCCACTGAGGCTTATTACCAACCAAGGCAGGATCCAAATAGCCCTCAAGAGAAGAGTGAGTCTGTTCTCTGTCCTCACGAAAACTGCCATCTTCCATTCTCCTAGACAACCTGGGAGTTGGTACACCCTCTTTTCTTTCTTTTTTTCCTTCTTTTTAAAAAATATATTTTTATTGAGTTCAGAGAGGAAAGGAGAGGGAGAGAGAGATAAAAACATCAATGATGAGAGAGAATCCTTGATCGGCTGCCTTCTGCATGTCACACACTGGGGATCGAGCCTGCAACCTGGGCATGTGCCCTGACTGGGAATTGAACCGCGACTTCCTGATTCATAGGTCGAAGCTCAACCACTGAGCTACACCGGCCAGGCTACCCTCTTTTCTTGATGTTATTGGCTTCTGAAAAGAAAGTTGAAAGGGCAGGGCCTACAATTCAGTGTTGCCATAGTATCCGCTAATAAGAGAACATTTCCATCTCCCTGTCATCTTAATTTTGAAAACCACAATTTTTACACATTTATAGGGACACTGACATAGGTACCTTGCAGTTGTCTGTTACTGCTTTAGTACTTTCAAGAAATTGATCCACAAAGTGCTTGATACTTTCACGTGAATCTTGGGAATTGAAAAGCCATTTCTGAAATTGATTGGGCGATAGTCACTTTTAGGATTTGGAATGATGCAAGATGTTGAATCTGTGTTCTGTGTGGCCACTTCAGACCAAAGATTGCAATGTGGTAGCCTCCAAGCTGATGTTCCTGTTGGATGACCTGCTCTGGGTGCTGACTGACTCGCAGCTCAAGGCTATGATGAAGTATGCAGAGTCACTGAGTGAGGCCATGGAGAAGTCAGCCCAGCAGAGAAAGAGCCTGGCCCCTGAACCTGTACAGGTTAGAGGCAAAACAGATACCCTTGGTGGGGCTGGGGAAATGGTAGGCCCTACCTGTTCATACCAACATAGGTGGAGTCTAGACTGCATTGGGCTTATTTGGGAGATTTGTCACTTCTGGGTGTGCATAGGCTTCGCCTTGGCCTCTGGTTTATTAATTTATTCTGTCCATACCTCTGGTGTGTTAGGTGCCCAGTGCTCACCAATGGAGAGGAAAAGTAGAATAAGCCTCTTGTCCCTGTCCTTGGAGCTCTCACTGTTTTGAAATATGGACACCAGCAAGTTATTGTACTGTGACATGCTGAGTGTGTAACAGAGAGAAACACTGTGCTGAGAGCACAAAGACAGGCATCTATCGGGGCTGAAAGGGTGTTTAGGGAAGATTTCTGAGGAGGTGTTTTAGCATCAGTCAGCTCAGTCCTGGGGAGTGAAAGCTTGGAGAGCAATTCAGACCTCAGAACAGTACTCTGACAGTTACTAGACTAATTATAATTAGGCTTTTGGGAATTTGGGTAATTTCGGTGAGACAGACCTGAGTTACCAGGTGAACAGTTATGAGAGGGAAGGGCATCTTGCTGATGGTGCTTTTCCTCAGGCTGGACTAAAGCTTAAAAAAGCCTGCAGAGGAGTCTCTCAGGGTTTGGACTTCTTGTTTTTCTCTCTGTCGCATGTAGATCACCCCACCTGCTCCCAGTGCCCAGCATTCCTGGGCCCAGGCATTTGGTGGCAGCCAGGGCAGCAGCAGCAACAGCAGCAGCCGGCTCAGCCAGTACTTTGAGAACTTTGATGTGAAAGAGTCCTCCTACCACCTGCTCATCTCCCGCCTGGACCTGCACATTTGTGATGATAGCCAGTCCCGAGAGCCAGGTACCCCGTGTGGCCTGAGCCTGGGCAAGCTTGGGGAGGAAGGCTCTCTGTGGAGTGCTTTGGTTGGCTTTCCCTATCACAGGCGTTCCTTGAGCCTCAGCTTTGCTGTGGTAGCTCTTTCTGTGTAAGCGGTGCTCTTCAGCCTGCACTACCTGATACAACACAGGTGCCAGGCTCTCTCCAGACCTCACTTGAATCAGAATCTTCAGGGGCACAGCCTTAGCTGTGCGGACTTTATTCATCTCCAAAAGCTCCTTGGGCAGTGCTGACCACTGATGTAAGCGGTGGGAAAGAAAATGTAACTGTAGGAAACCTCAGAATTTTCAGATTTTTAAATCAGTTTAAATAATTATTATGTGTAAATGTGCTCTTCCCAAGCAGAGAGGTTATGCTGTGTTCTTGTCTTGCTTTTATGTTCATTACCGCAATTGATATTACAAAAACATATACGTTTATTCAGAATGAAAAAGTAATTGACTCGTTTCTTTCCTTCATGAGCCTTGGGGAACTCACTTTAACTGCTTGCTTAACTTCTTTGAGTATCTTCATTTGTGAACTTGAGTTAAATTACATCTTTTTTACCTAACAGGTTGTTGTCATGCTCAAATGAGATACATGTTGAATTTCAAGGACCTTGGTTGTAGGCAGATATTAAGTATTATTATTTTGATGCCCGTTTCTTCAATACTCTGTGTTTTTCCTCTATATTTCCCTTTATCACCAGTTCTTGGTTTTACATGCTCTCATATGGTAGATGTGTCTCTTGCTGCCTTATCTTCTCTGAAGGTTATATCTGTCCACCCCCCTTTTTTTAGAGATAGAGGGGGAAAGGAGATGGAGAGAGAAGAGAGAGAAATATTGATGTGAGAGAGAAACATTGATCTATTGCCTCCCTCCTGTGTGCACCCCAACTGGGGATTGAACCCGTAACCTCTGGGTATAAGCCCTAGCTGGGAATTGAACCCATGATCCTTTGGTCCCATGGGTTGACAATCCAACCAAGACACACCAGCCAGGGCTATGTTTGCCTTTTAATGAAATCTACACTAACTTTCCTTGGGGAACCTACCCTTTTTTGTTTTTTAAAAATATATTTTTATTGATTTCAGAGAGGAAGGGAGAGGAAGAGAGAAGAAGAAACATCAATGATGAGAATCATTGATCAGCTGCCTCCTGCACGCCCACACTGGGGATCAAGCCCACAACCCAAGCATATGCCCTGATCAGGAATAAAACCATGAACTCCTGGCTCATAGGTTGACACTCAACCACTGAGCCACACTGGCTGGGCTTTCCTATTCTTTTCTTCCCGAGGCACCAAGCAGCACTGCCTCTCTTGCTTGACTATTCCTTGATCTTGAGGTGACTTCAGTCCCCCTCTACTCCCACTCAGAGAGCTGAGAGGAATAGCACAGTGACAGCATAAAGACTGGTTTTGCCACCACAGAAAATAAACTATTGCTCAATGGTTTGCCATTCCTTCATTTTGGAAGTTCTGTTTTAAAACAATTATTATTTTACTAGAGGCTTGATGCACAAAATTTGTGCAAGAGTAGGCCTTCCTTCCCCCAGCTGCCGTCACCGACTTCCCTCTGGCACCTGGGACCCGGGCTACCCTCGCAGCCCCTGCTTCGTCTGGAAGAACGTCCGGTCTAATTAGCATATTATGCTTTTATTATTGTAGATTTGGTTATTTCTTCCAAGTGTTACTATAAAGGCTTGAATTGTTGTTGTTGTTTTGCTTTTAATCCTTTCAAAGCCTTTTTATGAGTTCATTAGTGAGAATTTCATCCTCTTGCTCGATGAGGACTGTTCTCTCATGTGACAGGGCCCTGTAATCCACACTATTACGTGAATGACTGTAGCCTTCCCTGCAGCCCCCATGTATGTATTAAGCTAAATTAATCTACTTAGTGGAATTTATGGAAGTTTTGGGTGAGATTTTTTCAGATGAGGGATAACTTCCTCAGTGTGGTGTGCTAGTGTAATGCTAAGGAGCAAGGACAGGAAGAGTTCTTGTTACTTTGACTCTTGGACTTAGGGAGGAAGGGGAAGGGAGAACAGTGGTGTAGAAAGGGCTTTAACATTCTCTTGAGTTGTTCTGTCCATATGACTATTGGACACTTGAAATGTTGGCTGACCCAAATTGAGATGTGTTGAAAGTATAATATACACATGGGATTTTGAAGGCATAGTACAAAAATACAGTGTAGAATACTTTGATAATTATTTTCATACTGATTACATGTTGAAATGATAATATTTTGGGTATATTGATTTAAATAATATGTATTAAAATTAATTTCACTTTTTAAAAAACTTTTTTATGTGGTTACTAGAATATTTAAACTTACTTGTGTCTCACATTGTATTTCTGTTGGATAGCATTGCGTTATAACTGTCCAATATGGTAGCCACTGGCCATATGTGGTTATTTAAATTAAAATGAAATAAAATTAAATTAGTTCCTCATTTGCACCAGCCAAATTTCAGGTATTCAACATAATCCATAGACCATAGAAGATGCCCATCATCACAGAAAGTTCTTTTGGAAGGTGCTGCTGTAGAGACTCCTTGAAGGTTCCATTTACCTTCTCTTTCCTTAAGAGACACTATAGCTTGGGTGTTGAGCTCCCCGACTAACACGCTCATGTAGCTCTTGGTATTAGAGGTGAAATTATTGGAAACTGGGTGGGTCATTGGGAACAGTTTGGCCTGAGTTAGGGCATCTCTCTCTCTCTTTCTTTCTTTCTTTCTTTCTTTCTTTCTTTCTTTCTTTCTTTCTTTCTTTCTCTCTCTCTCTCTCTCTCTCTCTCTCTCTCTCTCTCTCTCTCTCTCCTCACCCAAGCATATGTTTATTCTTTTCTAAAATATATTTTATTGATTTCAGAGAGAATCATTGATCAGCTGCTCCTGCACACCCCCACATTGGGGATCGAGCCTGCAACCTAGGCATATGCCCCAACTGGTAATCGAGCCATGACCTCCTGGGTCATAGGTTGATGCTCAACTACTGAGTCATGCTGGCTGGGTCGAGGATATTTTTTTATTGATTTTAGAGAGAGGAAGTGAGAGGGAGAAAGAAACATCTATGTCAAAGAGAAACATCAATCAACTGCCTCCTGTAAGTGCCCAACCAGAAATTGAACCTGCAACCTACATATGTGCCCTGACTGAATTGAATCTGCAACCTTTTGGTGCACAGGATGACGCTTCAACCATTGAACCACCCGGCCAGGCAGGGCAGCATTGTCAAATCAAACTGGATCTTTGACATGGGTCTTGGCACTGATTTTTTTTTTTTTTTTGACACCAAAAGCAAAGGCAACAAAAGCAAAAATAAACAGGTGGGACTACAAACTAAAAAGTTTCTGCATAGCACAGGAAACCATCAACAAAATGAAAAGGCAACCTACTAAACGAGAGAAAATATTTATAAATCATGTATCTGATAAGGGGTAATATGCAAAACATAACACAACTCAATAGCAACTACAACAAATAATCCAATTAAAAAAGGCAGAGGATTTGAGTCGACATTTTCCCAAAAAAGACCTAAAGATAGAAAACAGGTACATAAAAAGGTGTTTAACATTACTACTTACCAGGCTCTCTGCCAGGTGAGGGCACAGGGAGAAGACAGCTGTCTATGAGACAGGAAACAGGCTCTCACCACACACTGAATCTGCCAGCACCTTGATCTTGGACTGCCCAGCCTCCAGAACTGTGAGACATAACTGTTTGTCATTTATAAGCCAAAAAAACCCTCCAAAACATTACTACTTATCAGAGAAATGCAAATCAAAACCATAATCAGTCCTGGCTGGTTTGCTCAGTGGGTAGAGTTGACCCAAGTACCAAAGGGTCGCTGGTTCAGTTCCCAGTCAAGGGCACATACCTTGGTTGCAGGTGTGATCCCCAGTCCTGGTCATGGTGTATGTGGGAGGCAACCAGTCGATGTGTCTCTCACATTGATGTTTCTGTATCTTTCTCTAAAGATCAATGGAAAAAATATCCTTGAGTGAGGATTAAAAAACAACAACAAAAACACACAATAAGATATCACATCACACCTGTTAGAATGGCTCTTATCAAAAAAGACAAGAAGTACTGCCCAGCTGGTATGGCTCAGCAGTTGAGTGTCGACCTATGAACCAGGAGGTCACGGTTCGATTTCCCGCCAGGGCACATGCCTGGTGCGGGCTTGATCCCCAGTGGAGGATGTGCAGGAGGCAGCCAATCAATGATTCTCTCTAATCATTGATGTTTCTATCTCTCTCTCCCTTTCCCTTCCTCTCTGAAATTAATTTTAAAAAATTATATATATATATATATATGTGTGTATATATATATAAAGAAGTGAAGTATTGGCGAGGATGTGGAGAAAAGGAATCCCTTGTGCAGTGTTGGTGGGATGTAAATTGGTGCAACCATTATGGAAAAGAGTATGGAGATTCATTAAAAAATTAAAAATAGAGCCCTAACCAGTTTGGCTCAGTGGATAGAGCGTCGGCCTGCAGACTCAAGGGTCCCAGGTTCAATTCCGGTCAAGGGCATGTACCTTGGTTGCGGGCACATCCCCAGTGGGAGGTGTGCAGGAGGCAGCTGATTGATGTTTCTCTCCCATCGATGTTTCTAACTCTCTATCCCTCTCCCTTCCTCTCTGTAAAAAATCAATAAAATATTAAAAAAAATTAAAAATAGAACTACTGTACAACCCAGCAATTCTACTTCTGGGTATTTAGCCAAAGGAAATGAAAATACTAACTCAAGAAGATATCTGCACCCCCATGTTTATTGCGCATTATTTACAATAGCCAAGATATAGAAGCAGTCTAAATGTCCATTGGTGAATGAATGGATAAAGACACACACACACACCACACACACACACATGCACACACATACACACATACACACACAGAGATATATACATACAATGAAATATTATTCAACCATAAAAAAGGAAATTCTGCCATTTGTGACCACATGGATGGACCTTAAGGGCATTATGCTAAGTAAAATAAGTCAGAGAAAGACAAATACTGTATGACCTCACTTATATGTGGAATCTAAAAATCAAACCAAAAAAATTAAACTCAGATAATTGAGCACAGGTTGGTGGTTTCCAGAAGGAGGGGGATGAAGTATATGAAGGGAGTCAAAAGGTACAAACCTTTTATAAAGTAAATAAGTCATGGAGATGTAATGTACAGCATGGTGACCACCGTTAATAATACTGCATTACTCATTTGAAGGTTGCTAAGAGAATAGATCTTAAAAGTTCCTATAATAAGAAAAACATTTTGTATCTATGTGTGGTGATGGATATTAACTAGACCTGTTGTGGTGATCGTTTCACAATATATAAACATATTAAATCATTATGTTATACAACTGAAATTAATATAATGTTATATGTCAATTATACCTCAATAAAAGAAATCAAACTGGAGCATCTCTCACTTCAAAGGCTTCAATGAGGAGGTTGGTGGTTGATAAGGGAAGAGTATCACCTGACTTCCCTAAGATAAGGCCTGTGAGACCAAAACTTGGTCTCTCTTAAAGTTAGGCTATCCTTTCCCACCAGCTCATTGGAGAATCATTATTAGCCATTTATTTTTACTTATTTTTTTAAAAATACAGTGGGGCCTTGACTTAGGAGTGTCCCGACTAACGAGTTTTTTGAGATACCAGCTGTCTCTCGGCTGATTTTTTGCACTGAGTTGATAGAGTAATTTGAGTTAACGAGCTCCTTAACGAGCTCCTTAACGAGCTCGGTCTCTGAACGAATTAAGTCAAGGCCCCACTGTATATATTTTTACTGATTTCAGAGAGGAAGGGAGAGGGAGAGAGAGATAGAAACATCAATGACGAGAGAGAATCATTGATTGGCTGCCTCCTGCACGCCCCCTACTGGGGATCAATCCTGCAACCCAGGTCCATTGACCAGAATCGAACCTGGGTCCCTTTAGTCCACAGGCTGACACTCTAATCACTGAGCAAACCGGCTAGCCAAGCATGCCAGCCCCGAGTTTGACATGCTTGGGCTAGGGCATTATTAGTAATTTATTTATGTACATTATCATTTATGTCTCATATATAATTATGTGTTTATAATTAAGTATGCTGGTGATTGGTAATTATATTTGATTTCATTTCTAAACCCTGTTTTTATATGCTCAGTCTTTATAGTTAGTTGTTCTTTTAACTCCAAGTAACTCCAACAGAGAAAGCATGGCTATAAACCCTCTCCCTTCAGTAGCCTAGCTCATGCATTTAATTGGGATATTTCCCCCTAGCAGGTGAAAATTGACTCTTTTTTAAAAAACAGCTTTATTGAGATATCATTTACATACAATATAATTCACCCATTTAGAATATACAACTCACTGTTTTTTAGTGTATTTATAGGGTTGTGCAATCATCATTATAATCCAGTTTTAGAGCATTTTTGTCTCCCCTAAAAGAAATCCTGTGTCAATTAATTGGCACTCCCCATTTCACAGCCCTAAGCAACCATCTATCTACTTTCTGTCTTAATATTTGCCTATTCTGGACATTGAAAATCGGTTCTTTGTTGGGGAGGGAGAAGGGAAAAATCTTACATATAATAATGGTTTGCGGTCCTCCAAGATTCACTCTGTCTGACAAAATTTTATTCCTTAGTATTTAATTTCTTGTTGGATTTGCTTAGATATCACATGAGTAGCATTGATGTTGAATTCATGAAAGGTACACAAAATGTATGGAAGATCAATACTACAAACTGGTGAATAGATGGCTGTGATTAGAGGACTTTTCAACCCATCATTTAGTGAAGTGCTGAAAAAAATATTGACAATATCTGAATGAATATCTAGCAGCTAATTAAGTTAAATATTATTTTTTCATGTCAAGCAAAGGTTAAAACTTAATATATTTTTAATGAAATTAATTTAAAATTTTCAGCTATTTTATTTTTTGCTAAAGTAATTTTGAATAATTATATATTGGATTATATTGCTGTTACATATTATAGAAATTGTAAATTTGCATATGTAATTTGATAAATTATAATTTATATAAGTTAATAAATCGCATTAAAAATTACTCAGCAAATACAAAGTTAAGTTAAAGAAAATTTAGTTTTTCTTAACCTTGCATTGAATAAAAATAAGCTTTATATTTATTCTTATGTATAAAGCACAGATAGACATCATTAGCAGATATACAGTATATCTGAGGTATTAAAATTTCATAGAGGGTGCAATTGGAAAAGAAATATATAAAGGCTCTTTAGAGTAATTATGAAAAAAAGATTAAGAAATGGAAACACTGGTATAGGTGTATCTCTTGGTAGGATGCTGATTAGTCAGAACTTGTGAGATCTATATTGGATGGAAAGGACCCTCCTCGTTGCAGTTTGCCATTTTGTACCTAGAGTATCTCCTGGTATTTCCCTTCATCCTAGTAAGGGACAGGGTGGATGTGCAGACCAGGGTAGGTCAGACAGTACATATATGTAGAATAATCCCTCCTCTTACAGTTCTTAGAGTTGAGTTGGATAAGTGTTTTGAACTCTGCATCTAGTAGATTGCTTGTCTTTATTTTGTTCTTTTTCTGGAGTTTTGTTCTCTTCTTTCATTTGGGACATGTTTTTTTATCTCCTCATTTCAGCAGCCTCCCTGTGTTTATTTCTATGTATTATGTAGAGTTACTATGTCTCCTGGGCTTGGTAGAGTGGCCTAATGCAACAGGTGTCCTGTATGGTCCAGTGGCACAGCCTCCCTGATCACCCAAGCTGGGCACTTCAGGTGTGCCCCCACCCCTCTTCATGGGCTGTGTATACCCTCCTGTGGTAGTTGAGCCTTGACTGCTGTTGGCATATCAGTGGGAGGGATTTACTCCCAGGCTGATCAGCTGCAAGGCCTGGCTGACTGCAACCATTGCCCACCATGGAGGATCAGCTGTGTAGGGGCCCAACCCAGAGATACCTATAAAACTTCAGTGGGTCTCTTGTGCCCACTGAGTGTGTTACTGTGGAGGTGGTTGGGTGGTGCTTGGAAGTGGTCTGAAGCTGTCAAACAGGTGCGCTGGCTCTGGGGTCTCTCAGAAGGTGCAGGTCAAGATCAGTCACTGTCTGTGTTCTGCCCTGGGCCATGAGGCTTGAGTTACAAAGCTATCTGCAGATGGCTGCTATTTGTGCTGGACTTGGAGATGCCCAGGAGAGGCCACGCCTGGAACCAAGGCCAGCTGCTGCTAGTACCAGGCCTGGAGCCTCTTAGCGAGAGGTATGGGGCATGCTGAGGCCAGATGCTGCTTGTTTGAGAGGTTTTAGGAAAGTGAAGCGTGAGCCATTCATATGGAAAAGCCACTGGAAACAGCTTGGGTGGGCCCACAAGGTTGGTGGGGCCGGGTCTCAGGGAATCACCAGGTCAGGGCTAACAGTGTGAGCCAGGTTGATGGAGACTCAGACATGGTGCTGGCCTGCTGGCTCTGTGGGGAGGGCTCATCAAAGGAGCAGTGCCTCTGACAGCACTTCTGTCTGGGAGAAAGCTGCCCCCATGCCAGACAGTTCAGTTTCTCCCTATATGTCCATGGTATCTTTTGAGCTACTATCCCAGTGCTGGAGCTCAGAGTGAGTGAGTCAGAGTAAGTCTATGTACAGGTCCTTTAAGAGGAACTGTCTGGGACTCCGTGTCACTCAGCCACAATGCCTGCTGGTTTTTATAGCCAGAAGTTATGGGGACTTCCCTTTCTGGCACTGGAACCCTGGGCTGGAGCGGGAGGGAGCTGGTGTGGGGCTGGGTCTCCTTGGTTTGCAGGGAGGACCTTCACAGCCAAGATATCCCTCCTGATTTTTAATCACCACATGTGGGTGTGGGACCAGCCCTTTCCATGTCTCTGCTTCTCCTACCAGTCTCAATGTAGCTTCTTTAAATCACTAGTTGTAGGACTTCTATTCAGCTAGGTTTCAGGCGGTTCTGAATGATGGTGGTTCTGTAGTTTAGTTGTAATTTTGATGTGGTTGTGGGAGAAGGCGAGTACTGCATTTTCTACTCCACCATCTTGACCAGAAGTTGATCCTGTAATTGATTTATTGCTAAAAATTCCAATTTACCTATAATATTCCATGGTATTTTG